TTTCTTAGATAATAACTTAGATTTGTCATTTGGTAGCACTTGGCGTAAGTGTTTTAACTTTTCGTTCAACTTAGTCGTTTCGTTTTATTTGGACCATTGGCAAATAAATTTAATAGAAAAGATAAACATGGCCGCTTTCTGTCAGTAGTGAATTTATTTCCTGAAATTTTATACTTGTTTATTATTTGGTGAGAACTTAAGTTTTAATCTTTATTATATGTTAGTAAAGGCAAGATGATAAAATTGGGAATTGAAAGAACATGTAATAGATTTATGAAATCAATCATCTTTTGTTTTAATATAATCAAGTTAAAAAATGGCATGTTGAATGAAAATTATTTAATTCTACTTTCACTTGGGGTTTAGTAATTTGTATGTGTAATTATAATTCTATTATAATTTCAATCTTTAATATCTGTTTATGTTATTCTATATATGGACATATAGATTGTATGACTCTGGATTGAAATAGTTTAAAAAATAGTTTGAAAATAAATTGAGGAAAAAGGACATCTTTTTGTATTTTAGTTGTACAAGAATTCCCCTAGTACCAAAGCAGAACAATATGATGGAAATGCCCTACTTCAAGCACTCGTTAGTCTCTCTTCACCCTGCGGCTGAAAATGATGAGAAAACAATACTTGTATCATCTCCTGATACTGATGTTTTTGTATTTCTTCTAAGGTATGCACAGTCTATCAACAGTTTTATACTTTTTGACACTGGTGTGGCTAATCATAGAAGATTGTTGAAAGTAAATGAAATCATTGAAAGAATAGGAGAAATTTTGTGCAAAGCATTGACTGGGCTATATAGTTTCACCGGATGTTTCACCACGAGCGCTTTTGTGCCGAGGGGGGATTAAAGCCTTAAACGTTTAAAAAAACATCCTGAATATATACCAGTATTCAAGAGAATTGGCAAGTGAGTTGATTTTCAAGAATATTTTAAAATTCTAGAACAGTTTGTTTGCATTCTATGCGGGAAAGACAAATATAGTGACATAAATAAGTTGCGCCTTGATATTTTCTGGCAAAAGTTTAGACATAATTACAAATACTGATGGTATTTTAGTCTAATACCACCATGTCGTTCCACATTAAAGATTCATATTATTAGATCAAATTACCAAGCATTTATTTAACAAAATGCCTTTTGTCAATGCCAAACTATTCCAAGTCCTGATGGATATGGGTGGAATACCGATACCACCGGAGGTCTCACTTATACCTGGACAGAGGGAAATAAATCGCCACCAGAATTAATTCACATCATAGCTGATAAAAAAAATAGCGGTGAAGTGTTAGAAGATAATGAAAATGAAGAAGATGATCTAGTGGAAATTGAAGTGGAAAACTATATTGATGTCATTTTCGAAGAAGACTTCGAGTGATAATTGATATGTCACTAAAAGCAGTATTGTAAATCATTGGGAAAAGGGCATAATTTATATTTTTATAGCGTTATAATTAAACCAAATTGAACATCAGTAAGTCTTTTTAACTTCTATAAAATGAAAATAAGATTACAAGAAAATGACGGCCATTTTGAATTTGGCGGATTTTTTTTAAAAAAAGAAACATCAATAAATTATGAAGGAAATCATTTTAGAGACCTTGTCTATGATTCAAAACAAAAACCGACCTCATAACAATTCATTTGGTTAAATAATAAATAGTTATTTCATTTAGGCTTTTTATAAGGAAATTGTGACAAGGACAGGTAATTCACATTGGCCTGTTTCTTCATGGTAAACGTTTCAGTTTAACAACAAGTTGCAAATGTCTTCCTATATATTTATCTTTAAAACTACATTGGTCTCATAAATATATATATATTCTTCATACATCATATCACGAATGCAATTTCACATATAGATATATTTACTATAACTTTAGTTATGATCTGGTTCAATTTGTTTTTGGTTCGAATATAATTGAGGACAGAATAAGGCATATTCGTATGTTCCTTTTGAGAACATTATATCGCCTATAACTGAACGATATCTAGTGTGAACATAAAAATGTAAAAGAAGAAAGTGCACACTATTAGAAAATGAGAATAACATGTACATAAATATTATTAGATTAAAGAAGTGTGCACTAAAGGTATTAGGTTGAGGTTGTGTACACTAAAAGTATTAGTTTTAGGAATTGTGCACTCAAAGTATTAGGTTAACAAAAGTGTACATTAAAATTATTAGGTAAAAGATGTGTACACTAAAAGTATTAGGTTTAGAAAGTGTGCAGCTAAAGTATTAGTTTTAGACAATGTAAACTAAAAGTATTAGATTAAGAAAGTGAACACTAAAAGTGTACGGTTAAGAAAATGTACACTGAAAGTATTAAGTAAAGAATGTTTACACTAAAAGTTTAAGGTTTAGGAAGTGAACACTTCAAGAATTAGGTTTAGGAAGTGTGCACTAAAAGTATTAGGTTAAGGAAGTGTACATTAAAAGTATAAGGTTAAGGATGTGTTCATTAAAAGTATTAGATTATAGAAGTGTACACTTAAGGTATAAGGCTAGGAAAATGTACACTAAAAGTAATTGTGAAGGATGTGTACACTTAAAGTATATGGTAAAGGATATTCTCTCTAAAGGTAAAAGGTTAAGGACGTGTACAATAAAAGTATAAGGCTAAGAAAATGCACACGAAAAGTATTATGAAAAAAAAGTGGACACAAAAAGAATTAGATTAAGGAAGTGTACACTTAAAGTATGAGATTAAAGAAGTGTACACTAAAGGTATTAGGCTAAGGAAATGTACACTAATAGGATTTGTGAAGGATGAATACCTTAAAGTATAAGTGAAGCATGTGAACACTAAAAGTATTAGGCTAATTAAGTGTACACTTAATTTATTTATGAAGGATGTGTACACTAAAAGTATTAGGTAAAGGACGTGTACACTAAAAGTATTAGGTTACGGAAGTGTACACTAAAAGGTTAAGGCTAAAACTAGTACACAAAAAATTTATGTTCAGAAGTGTATAAGGCTAGGGAAATGTACTCTTAAAGTATTAGGCTAAGGCAGTGTACACTAAATATATAAGGTTAAAGAAGTGTACATTAAATGAATTAGGCTATGGAAATATACACAACCAGTTTAGGTGTAGGATGTATACACTTCAAGTTTTAGTGAAGAGTGTGTACACTAAAAGTATTAGGCCTAGGAAGTGTACACTAAAGTATTTGTGAAGGATGTATACACTAAAACTATTAGGTCAAGGATGTGTACTCTAAATTATTAGTTTAAGGAAGTGTAAACTATAGGTATAAGGCTAAGAAAATATACACCAAAAGTATAATGTTAAGAAGTGTACAAAAAAGTGTTAGGTTAAGGAAGTGAACACCGAAAGTATATGGCTTTGGAAGTGTACACTAAAAGGTTGATGTTTTGGAAGTGTGCAATATAAGTATAAGGTTAAGATAGTGTACAATAAAGGTATAGGCTAGGGAAATGTACACTAAAAGTATAAGGTTAGGGAAATGTGCACTTAAAGTATTAGGTTAATGATGTTTATATTTTAGTTTTAGGTTAAGGATGTGTGCACTAAAATTTTAAAGTCAATAAAAGTTTTAGATTTAGAAAGAGTACACTAAAAGTAGTAGGTTTAGGAAGTGTTCACTTAAGGTGTTAGGTTTGAGAAATATACACTAAAATTATTAGGCTAAGGAACTGTAGACTAAAAGTTTTAGGCCAAAGAAGTGTACACTATAGGTATTATGTTAAAGAACTGTACACTAAAAGTATTAGGTTAAGGAAGTGTAGACTGAATGTTTAAGGCTAAGGAAGTGTACACTCAAAGTATTACTGGGGATGTGTTAGGTTAAAGAAGTGTACACTAAATGTATAATGCTATTGGAAATGTACATTGAAAATATTTTTGAAGGAAGTGCACAGCATATACACAGTTTGTAATATCACAACAATATCATAACAAGTTTATTAAATGATAATGCGGTACTAGTATGTATAGAAAGTTAATCAATCCCTCTAACCGCACCCCACCCACCACTATGCAACATATGTACCCTGTCATTAAAATTAGAAATCAGTCGAAGTTGTAAAAAAGAAGCATTTTTGTTGTTGATCGCTTTATGTACTTTCATAGATAAAGAAAAACACATGAAGAATATTCTTTTTTATCTTGCTAACATATAACTATATTTTGTATATAGACAGTGACTAATATTTGAGATACTTAAATGATTATATTTTGTATGATGATGTACTTTGAACAAATGTTGAATAAACTTTGTTTTTGTTCTGTTTCATGGACACAAAATAAGATGAAGAAATTTTTCAACAAGGACGACATTAACGCAATAACTTTAATAAATTAAACCACATTCAATAGAACAACATGTTACATTTCAACAAAGAAACAAATATTGAAATATGATAAATACTTAAGTAAATAAACGATTATATATAGCATTCAAAGGTAAACTGAGTTAGAATTAGAATGTTTAAATATGAAAAATGAAAATGCTAAGCATGTGAAAAGTGTGTACATGTATATAACATTTTACGTGTATATTAAAAGCTATATATTTTTTATTTTATTTTTTATTCATTTATTTTATTGAATTTTTGAAGAAGAATAGTGTCAAAATATCTGTATGAAAGAAATGTTTGTATAATTCCTCAAGAGGAACGACGCATAGCTAATTGTAAAAATCATACCTAGAACATCAGCATAATATTTTCTTCTAGAGTTTGCATACAGTATTCATGCGTGTTAAAAAATAGAGACATGCAATCAGACAATGGACACAGTTTGTGGATTGAATTTTTAACTAATGAAATTGCAGCAATGGAATATGAACATACATCAATACATATACATGTAGTCCAAGTAATTTTGTAAAAGTAAACAATCAATGTAATGCCTGAACATAATTTTAAATGTATGCAGATGAGAGAAATATATAAGCACATCTTTGCTTTTAAGCACTAAAGTGTGTGCTGATTTTTAAACGAATAAAGAATATCTAAGAAAATCATGCATTGAATTGACAGATATATAATCATAATTTTTTCCCTTTGTTTCAAAGACTTTTTCCTCAGTAACATACGCTATTTAAATTTAACAACAGCAATTATGCTATGTCTTCACTAATGTAGTGTTAAGCTCTTTTGACACGTTGTAAATATAAATTCTAACATCCAATGCCTCTTTTTAGTATATTTCCAGTTAATCAAAGCATCCCGTATAAAACATGTGTACCCAGAACAGGATCGTGGCTATAAGAGCGAACGTAACCCCACCGATTGCACAATAGAAAGACCACATCATCGTGGTGTTGTTCGGGTTCGACGCCGCGTACAGGGCAAACAGTCCAAACCCACCAGCGAACGCTAAAACTGAAAAATAGGCAACAAGAACAAAATATCAGTCGCTATTTAGATTGCGTGAAATATTATATCTGAATACACTATTTTTGTACATTTTTAGTTCACTTTGAACAATTATACAGATCGTGTTCCTTCGTAACATATCCTCTTTAGTGACTCAGTTTGCATCAGAAATGCTATCATTTTTATTTTATCTTGTTACAGTTTCCAAACCAATACTCATTTGCCATACAGATGGACAGTTTTTGTTTTGTTTGTAATTGGTATAATTATACATGCAGTAAATTAGTATTATGTATGGAAGTCAAAATACTACTTTGTTTACATTTTGCTACCTTTACGACACGTCTTACATGCTCTAAATCCACTATCAAAACATTATTAAACATAAGTTTGACATTTCTAAAGAATCTGATATGTATAGATTTCTGAGGCATAATGTACCTTTAATTATGATCCCAATTTCTTCACGCATTTTATTCATTTTTAAACAATTACTCAATTTAAACTCATGCAGAACAACATTGTATGTATATATTTGTCTGCGACCTTTATAACCCGAGTTCATTATTTAAAAAAGTTGATGTAAATTATAATTCAACATAAATATTTAATAAGAATCTTACATCCAAATAACATGATCACTCCAATCGTTACTGCACACGCTATTTTGCTAAAATTGATTTTCCGATGACATGGGTAACAAACCAGGGTCAACAGGGATAACAAAAGAATAGCCTCGCCGGCAAAGAGCAACGGTACCCCTAACGTCCAAGTGGTCTTCACTGAAAATATAAAACGTAATTCTTTGTGGTTATGTCTTTAGTGTCGGGCATTGTGAATACAGCCTGACCCATAATATGACAAACTATCTCAGGGGCAGACTGTTGGCATATTTCTACAACTATTCGATGTTCTACTTACAAAATACAAAGTGCAAAAGAGATGAATTATGCCGATTTTTTTTCGTTATCTACTTTTTGGTTCGATCCTCGAGCGAGGCATTATTTCGCTGTTACGAATGATCTTGGACACCCAGTCAATTAGATTAGTTATTTGTCTCTCACTGCTGATTCAGAAATCATGTGGGATTAGTAGTCGGTCACATTGGTAGACATTGGTAATTACTGGTTAGTTATCTGGGAAAGTCGGATAGACGGATCGTCCTTAAAGCTGCGTAATAAACCTGAAAAGCAACAAACAAATGACGAACAATATATATCATAGAAATCTACAAAGGGTTTTAAATATAAAGACTCATTTGCATTCATTCTTTATGATAATGGTTGGCAATGTTTGAAGATATTATAAAAGTGTTATTTGACAAAGCTTCGAAATCGTGCCACAGTGAAAACTTTGCAGTTATGAAGTATCTTTGTTCTCCACGGCCGAGTCCGACTGGACAAGAAACAAACTTACATTTATCTGTGTTGTCCTCGTCATAAAATTTCGAGACAGACTGGCAGATTTGTGTCCAGTTGTCACACCGTTGAAACAGCCCAACATAGTAGTGTTGAATATTGAACCAGTAGCCCGTTCCCATACCAATCCCGGCCGCTATCTAATGTATTGATATTGAATGAAATATTACATTACATTTTATTACATTACATTGCATTGCAATTGCAAAATTTTATTTCATTACATTAGTTTGTTGATCAGTGATTCACAAAAGCGGAGGTTTATATAAAGCACATCCAAATAGCAAACCCATTTCAATTGAAAATATTTGCCTCGAATAAATTATGCGGATTTTTGTCCCTAATATTGACACACATTACGACAATTTTGAAGTCTTGGGCGCTGCCGGAAACGGAAACAATGTTACCGTAAACAAAGGTCACGTGATCATCCACCCTGATAGTCATAATGAAATCACACCATTTACAAATAAAATTATTGCAATGTAAGGATAACGGCATTTAATCTTGAGGATCATCATTGTCTCTTACAATCACTTACAAGATATGCTGTGATGCCACTCTCAAACACATACATTATTTCGTTGTCTGAACCATTGCACAAGATTTAAACAATATGAAGTATTCTTTGTTAAACATTTTAAATGAGTTTTATAAAGTGTATATTGTCGAAGCATAGAATAGCAGATTTTTTTCACTCTGAGGTCTTCCTTCACCTGTAAACCTGGAAATTCTCCATATGGCCTTAACAGTGTCGGCGTTATTCAACACCTAAACCACAACAATATCAACAACATTAACAACAAATTTATTAGATGTTAAGGTAATACATACCAAGGCAATTGGTAGGAAAAAAGCTGCCCGTCATACCAAGGTTCA